CAAGAACAAAGATAGGTCAAACATACTAGCGTACTAATATTATAAATGCAAAAGTTCGATGTATGTATATCTTAAATCAAAACCTACTTGATCAATTTTAAAATAGAAATAGCAGTGTAATCATAATATTTTCTTATTTGTTATCTCTTAATACATAACTATTATATTATGACTTAAAATAAAAATGTAAAGATTTAAGGAAATACAGATTTATTGAAGAAAAAAAAAACTAAAATCGTATATTTTGTTATAAGACACATTCTCATGATAAATTTAAATAAAAAAAAAATCGTAACAAACTACCCGGGTAAAGCAGCTAAACATTATTATCCGTATGTGGCTTCATTCGCTTGAACCGGGTAAATAAATTGAACTAACCCATTAGGATTTTTAAGACCTAAAGACTGTAATGTCCTAAAGAGATCTAAATAATTGTGCTCGAGTGAATTTAAACTCTAGTTAAGTTAAATTGGTCTGTTTGGCTTTAGAGTCTGGACTGAACTTCCAATGTTTTTTCTAACGGACGATGGTATTCTACCAACAAAATTGAATTTCCCTTTACTGATATCTGTTAACATGTCAAGGGACTTTTTTAAAGCAGGTTTCATCAGATTTTTGTGGCATAAATGATTGTTTTATGACATAAGTAAATAATACATATGAAGGTATTTTGTGTATATTGCATATTTACATGGTTGACAACTATCCACGAATCGATTTTTCGTTTTTGTTACCGAAGAAATTTTTCGCGTAAAGAAAAATATGATTGTTTTAATTATTATTAATACGGATTTAACATTCATAAAAATTATAATTTTCGAATAAGTAAATCCAAAAAATAATAACAACTTTGATTTAGTCGAAATAAATATAACAAAATACCAAATATTTTGTAGTTTGGGTTTATTTCAATATTAATATAGCATGGAATTACCTTTACAGCGCAAAATGTTTTTGCTCTTTAGTTCCAGGACCTAGGGAAATCATCTCTTTCCATATTAATAACATTTTCTTTTGAATAATATAAACTCATTGAAATACTATGCATTTAGACAATATTTATACATATTAATAGAGAGAAATATTTAGGAGCTTAATAATTCAATTTGTTTAATAATTGATAATAATTTTAAAAAATAATTAACACACTTAAATGTCACCAAGCATAACGAAAATTAAATACATAAGTAACTAATTAAAATCTAATTTATCCTCTATTGTGCCAATGTGGCATATGTATTAACCCAGATAAGCCTGAAACTAAAATTTTATGAAAATTTTGAAAAAAGTTACATTATTTAGTTTATTAGATCTTATGGAACGTAAAAAAAATTATGAAAAAAAAATTAAGTGTAAGGCTTTCAGGGAAACAGCCGTCCTATATGTAGGACAGTAGGATAATAAGAGGAAATAAAAGACCAGTTATGACAAAACAGAATGTAATCAAAAAATGTAGTTTATTAGATAACTTTTGATTATATTACCCATTTTTATATGTAATTTACTAGATTAACACTATTTATGAATGATATGTTTCAAAACACTTGACACACACTCCAACATCACATTTCTTGCAACCTCTCAAACATTTTTTGTGACATTGACGACAGCGTGTTTGCTTCGATTGAGGAATAACCAGATGATTCATTTGGTCTTTACGACTATCAGCATGTTCATGATGGGAGGGTCGGCTAGGCCCTCTTTTGGCATTTGTAATCGACAGCACCACGTTCCTTTTTTTTTCAGTAACTTCGATGTAATCAGAGGACAACTAAATGTCCTGTTTTCTCGAACTGTCCCAGTGCAACGAAGGCCTTTCTTTGTTATCTCTTCCAGCAAGGGCGTTCCAGTAAAAATATTATCAAAAACTACGTAGTAAGAAAGGTCGAAGCCACGTGAAATCAGCACATCACAAAAAGTGAGAACAACGCTTGCACCCAGCCCCAATTCTTTATATATTGGATTGTATTGGTATGGTTCCATCCATAAAATATACCCTAACCGTGTAGCACCATCCCAAGCTTTGAACCCGTACCTAATAGGTTTACTTTTTATGAGCTGTTTGCAGCCATGTCTACCATAGTAGGGGATCATGGCCTCATCTACACTGTAATGCTCTTCAAGAGGAGAAAACTCTAAGAACTTTTTATTTAGAAGTGTAACTATGGGGCGTACTTTTGTGTATTTGTCTTGCAAATCCAGATTATCATTAACATGAAGGTGGCGAAAAATAAAGTCAAATCTATCCCTAGTCATAGCCGAGATGATCAATTCATTCTTTGTATCAGGGGAGTTTTCCCAAAACATTCTTCTACGGGGGAGCCATGAATAACCACTAACCAACAATATGCCGATGAAACATTTCATATCTTCAGTGGTTATGTCTCCAGGCAAATTCTTTTTGACAGCATATTTATTGCTTTCTGACACCAACAACGAAATAACATCTTCATCTAAGAAGTTTTCAAACCACCCAATTGGGCGCTTATCTTGGCAAGCGCCTTGAACAAGGGGATTTTTTGCCAAGTCCCGTTTTCTCCATGCGTAGGTACGCCTTCGTTTAGTTCGACCTGTAGAATCAGAAGGTTCTTCTTCTGTATCACTCACCATAATCTGCCCTTGAATAATTACTTCAGCCGGTTGAAGCAGAATGTTTCGTGGCAAATTATTCAAAGTTACATTATCTTCTTCACCCGAATCTTCGTCAGTGAGGCAGTCAGGATCAACAGGAGGAGGTAGAATACATATCACTCGTTCTCTATAATCTTCTTCATTATAAGAAACATTTTTAAAGCATCTAAAATTTCATGCGCAGCTAACGGTCTGTAAAGAAAAAGTTGTATTATTGTACTAAAATCATGTATATTATCCTACTGTCCTATATATAGTACGCTAGTATTTGTATCAAGTTATACGTAATTTATTTATATTATTTTGCTAGAATATTTATTTAGTACAAAAGTTAAGGTTATAAACTAGATATTAACACAGAAAAAAACAACTCACGAGTAAAATATAACTTTTTATACATACCTGTCATTTGCCATGTCTGCAACGCACTTTTATTACACATTTATAAGGTAAAATATAAGGTAAAAACTGTTAAAATAACTGTCTTTTTATTTTTTCTAATAAAGCTGACACGTTTCTTACTGCAAATCATAAGACTAAATAATCTTAGATAAAGAGGATATTTTGATATTTTTTTTTATTTCTACTGTCCTAAATATAGGACAGTAGGCTTATCTGGGTTAAGGTTAGAGGTTTACAAATATTGGTAGGGTAACCTTTGTTGAAACATATTTATTCTCATTAGCAGGCGACAACAACGGACCTCAATTTGATACATTATAATACCAGGTGTAGTCTTACTATGGATTGCGTCCAAACCACAGGTCGTTAGCCCACATGCGTCTATTTGTCACTTATGTTAAATCATGTGCCTAAAGATAATAATAGCGGGGAGACTCCAAGTCTAGTTAGCTTGAGATATATGTGGACCTGGTTTCATTGTTTTCATTTTAGTTACAAATCTAGACTTCTTTTCAAGTGAAACAAGAAAAAAACGTGTATAGAATCAGATTTGGAGTTAAGTTTTTAGAAAGTTTGTTGACATTGTCGGGTTTTGTCGTCTAATGCAGAAGTGTTAATAATAGTGTTTTGCTGGAAAAATACCTATTCAGTTTAATCTTGAAGTTATTATTGTTGTAGGAAAAAGAAACCTGATATTGGGGAGCGTTTTATTCTGTACCTTATCCTTATTCAAATTCTTACCAACAGTGCAGCCATAAGAAATCAAAATCAATAATATTTATTTTTACTTTTTCCTCGTATTTTACAAATAAGAGATATTGGTATGGGGTATTATATTTAAAATCGTGTAAATAATACGTCCTTAAATTATAATCACTTTGTTTATAAATCTACAATATTAAGAAGTTTTAGATGATTTGTAGTTGATGAGTGTTAGTGGATAAATTTAGATTATATTAAATTGTACCAATGTTCATTTAGACTGGTTGACACGTGCCCCTGCTTAGAATGCTATTTTTAGATCCTGGATGGTTGCCAATACTGTTCTAAACTGTATCTTCTAATTTTGTCGTTTATAAGTAAGTTTTTTATGGTCCTCTAGCAAATTCCACGAGAGTTTATATTCAGAAGTTACACTACGATTAGTTCAGCAATATTTACAATTTACTGAAAGGTGATTATTGAAATTTGAGGTATCTTTCTTAAATAGTCTGGCGTGTAGGAAATAAATAAAACAATAATGTCTTTTAAAAGTAAATACAGTCTTTTCAATCTTTATATATTTATAAGATAGTTATTCAGGCTTTATCTCTAATCATTAATTATTGTTTGTATTGCATGAACATTGTCATAATTATGACTAAAGATTGTTTTGTTGGTGGCGCTATGATTTCTCTAATTTTATCTAATCTTTGGCTCCTCGCCAGGACATGCCGATCTTTTTATAACTGGTGTCGCTGCAAATCTGCATTTAGGACACTTTTAGAGGGGAACTTCTTTTTATTTTGAAATTTGTGCTTATTTTTATTCTCTTTAATCTGTATGGTAAAGATATCACTGGTAGAATAAATAGTTGTAGGAGGTTTTTGCTGGACGGTTTCTCAAATTAAATATTATTTATGTATAATTTCGTTCTACGATGTTTTCTACTTTTATTAGGAGTGCTATTTTTTGTGTAAAAACGTCGATGTTTGTAGAAATTTTACTGAATACAAATGCGGAGAAATCAGTCTTAATTTTTATTTCAATAAAATAATATAATATAAATAACTTCAAGAATATCTTATTTTTTTTTATTTCTACGTTTATATAAAATATATTTAAAATATCTATACAAATCGCCATATTAGTAGCCCTATGGACTAATTTGTATTTCATATTTTGATAATAAAAATATTATATCAAATTACGTAATATATAACATTCTGTTTCGATCGGCTTTATTCAGGGATCGTAATAGTTTTGGGATGAATCTAAAAAGACCATCGGAGCTCTACAAACACCTAAGAGTTTCCAAGAGACATATCCTGGGAAAATCCCATGATGACGTCGTTACATCACTCCCAAAAGACAATGATGCCCCAGAGCTAGAGTCACGACTTCAATTCCATAAACAATTTATGATCGGAGCGCAAAATAACAGAGTAGGGTTAGGATCAAGTAGGAAAGTCCAAGATACGGATATATTGAAGTCTTTTATTCGGCAAGACGAGAACGATAAATACAAGATCCATGCAATGAGTTTAGAAATGCAGAACGATTGGTTAGACATAGGAGATTTTTGCATTCCACTAGCACTAAAATGGCGCACCCTAATTCATGACTGGTCGCCAGCCTTGCTAAAATTTTATCTCAATGCGTTCCAGATGACTCTCCCAGATCAGAGTAATTTAGTAAGATGGGGTAAAGGTACCGAAAAAACTTGCTATATCTGCGGAAAGGCAGTTGGAACTGCCAAGCATTTGCTGGTGGGATGTAAGGTTCTCCTGGACAGCGGTCAATACTCGCGTCGTCACGATAGGGTTTTAGAGATCATACGTGAAGCGGTTAGTCTTTCGGTAGCCAGAGCGCAAAGGGAAATAACCACAAACGAGCGATCAATAGGTTTTGTGAGAGAGGGCACCAGGGCTATAAAATCAAACGTCAAGCCTTACTCTATCCTTAAAGCGGCTTCGGATTGGACTATCATGATGGATACGTATGAGAAACAATACAAAATCCCCGAGGATATTTGTGCGTCGGCCTCCAGACCAGACATATTTCTATATTCGCGTATTTTAAAGCGCGTTGTGATGATAGAGCTTACGGTGCCTTGGGAAACCAACATCCCCAAAGACCATGCCATCAAGGTCAATAAGTATTACGAGCTCACTAACGAACTAAATCGAAATAGGTTCGTCGTTGATTTGTACGCGGTAGAGGTGGGAGCGAGAGGTATAACAGCTAAATCTCTCTATAACCTACTAAAAGACTTGGGCCTGTCCAGAACTAACATTAATTCATTCTTAGAACGTACGACGAAGGCAGCCCTAGTAGGTTCTTTTCAAATTTGGTTAGGTAGGGAGAGGAACTTGGACAGTGGAGGTGAGCGTATAACGCGCGTTAGTTAAGGGGCCCCTTAAACCTACACCTGGGTCGCAAGTCCCAGGCACTGTTGAAGCTCCTCTCCCTGCAACGCGATGGACCCGGCACCCGCACGGTGAATCCATCGAATGCTAAGAGGTTTCGTCTCTCTTATCAATCAAGTGTATTTTTATATTTATAATTCTATCATGTCATTATTTAAAACTTACTCTAGAATAAAGTCGAAGCATTCGTTTCAGCTTAAAAGAAAACATTGAAATAATTTTAGGTTCTATTTACCCAGCTTTAATTAATTTCTTCTTCAAATAAATGTTATATCGTTTTGTGAGTACACGACATTCGTCAATCAGCCACTATATAGTTTGTCATATAACATGATCATATATTTTTTATTGCTTATAACATTTTTATTTATGAATCGATTTCGTTGGTTTCACAAATGTTGTTGGAATTGGTTTCATATATATTTTGTTCATCTGATTGATGAGAGAGACTATTCTGTTAGAAGGAATTAAGTCTCCAGAAAAACTAAATGAGTCTTTACATCTTAACATATTTTTGATTTAGTTTCTTTTTTAGAACATATTTTCTAAATTTAATAAAAACATAATTTATAAATCATCTAAAGTATTTTTAGAATATTTTTATCGATTTTTATCTTAACATATCATATATCGTATCGTAACCAGTCTTGGAAACATGTTTTGTACGCACTTTATTAGATCATAGGCTAGCACGATGCGGCAAAGAGTGCCCATGTTTTATGTATGCGGCAACGCCATAACGATCCCCGAAATATTAGTCCAAGTTTTTGTTACGGAAAGACAAATAACGTTCTCGTTTATATAAATAACAGTTTTTTATTACATTCTATGTGTAACATGTTTTCACTTCAGCACGTAAACATGTATCAGCTATTCTATGTATGTATTGTTAAAGAACATATCTCTCGACAATGTGCATTGTAGCGGTACTGTAGCGCCATCTTGCTTCCTGTGTGTGATGGAAGATAAAATGGGAATATCATAGATAGTAAAATTGTAATTGTAAATGTTGAACTTAGCTGAGTATTTCTAATGCTTTGTTCATTTTTAAACTGAATTATAGCCGTTTATGTTATACATTTAACAACAGTACCTTAAAATAAGTGTAGTAAATTGTGTCTTCTTAATAGGAATAACGTTATGTTTTAAGCCATTTGTAGCTCAATTTTACTACATATTTTAAAAATTCTTTAAAACTTTTGAATATAAAAGAAATAGAATTATTGTAAGATATTGATAAAGCAATAATATAAAACCGTGACTTGTTAAAAATATAATCATTTTTGAAGTTGATTATTTATTAAAAATATCACAATTTTAAATTGAAGTGCAATACAACTTTTAATAAAACTGTTATACAATATTAAAAGAACTTTAAAAAGTCAGTTATGACCTAGTGGTTAAAAGGCCCTCCTCTCATGCACGAGGGCTCGGGTTTGATCCTGACCCTGACAAGTACCAATGTGATTTTTCGGAATCATATGTACTGTACTTTCTAAGATTATTTAGACACCGCTGATTAATGCATTCCCAAGGAGGGTTGATATCTGCAGGCGGCCGGTCGTAAAAAAAAATTAGCCAAAACTATTCACAACATGTAAGGCAGACCCTGGCTAAAGCTGGGAAATTGCCAGGTAGAAGAAGAAGATTAAAAGAACATTAAAAAATTTAGGTTTTAGCGCTAATGCTCTTCTACCAATATATGATACAGATACAATTTTGTCTTAATCACACTTTTACTTAAACTACTACAATAATATTAAAGTTAAACACATAATATAGAACCAGAGCGGACCAGTAATGAAGGCGGCACCTGTTCTCAAGTGTGACCTATGTACAGCCATCGCTTCTCTCCACTATAATGAAGAGAATATAACGAGGATACGTACAGGCATAGTCTAAACAACATTTGATCTGACAGAACATAATACAGTAGTAAAAGTGAAGAAAAGAAAAATCTTTTAGTAAGAAGTATGTCATATAAAAATAAACAAATATTTATAAAACTTCAATAAACAGTTTATAGAAAATCTGCCCTAATTAGTACTAGCAGTAAGAATATCTATCTTATGTAATCATATTAATTAAGTTTTTAGCTTTAAAGGACTTTATTTATTTTACTCACTGTTGTCTTGAGCGCAATATGTTTGTCTTTATTAAATCACATGTTGCCTCCAACTTTGTCGACGCGAAATTAGGTTTATTACAAACCAACGTCTTTGACGTCTGTTTAGCTAGAATGTTTAAATGAGCAAAATCAGTACAATTTTTATGAATATTGCTTTTACATTCTATTTTATTGTTGCAAAATCATTTAATATTAGTGCGTTAGTGCGTAGTAGAACTGTGTCTTCGACTAAATAGCAATTTAATGCTCATAAGTGCTTCCAGCATATATATGACGATTGCAATTTTATTATTATTATTACTTTTTAAAGGGTTTAGAAAATTGCAAGCGTATACAATATCAATCTACTATGTCATCATCGGCTTTACTATTAGGTACTAATATTAAAAAATTCTTAATTAAAGTTTTGCGAATTTTTTTACACTCCATATCAGCTATTTCATTGATCAAGAAATAGTAATTTAGGATGAAAAAGGTCAGAATTGAGACCGATTTGTCATAATTAAGAAAAGAAAAAGTAAATATTTAGAAATATTACGTCATTAATGCAAAAAATCAGTTCTATAAATTAAGTATTTTGTAGTAAACATTCAGATTGATATTAATTATCAGTCAAAAGTTTTATACTATGGATGCCAAAATTGACAAAAAATTATTGCAATTCTTTTACATATATTGTCAGCAAGCAGTTATCACTGAATTATTAATGCTGACACTTAGTTCTACTAATCACGTTTCATTGTTACCGACAGTGCTATGCAAGCCTAATTATAATCTAGCCGTTTTGTAATTTTCGATCATACTATCTGAGCGTTAAGTTGGGTTTTGCAGCACTAAATTTGAGTTCGAAACTTTTTTTAATTGCAAGTTTGTCTTTTCAACAATTCTAGCTTAAGAGACGTACGTAATGGTCGAAAGATATGTACAGTTAGACGAAGAATGAGAAACTCAATATTACACGTTTAGTTATTATTAAAAACATATTTAAAAGTGCATTTAATTCCAAAAGATTCCAAATAAAAATATTTCTCTTTAAGTCATTCGTAGTCAACATAACTAAAAAGTAGAATTACAAATAATGTAAATGTTCATTCTTCTCTCAATAAAGTCGCAAAAACGTTTTGCATAAAATAGTACTATTTATATTTTGAAAGAAGACAATTTTATCTGCAATAACAAAACTAAATGGCAAAGCTTAAATGGAAAGCACAAGATTTAAGTACGCGAGAAAACACTCCACAAAAACTTCAACATTTTTAATTCTTTTGTGAGAATGGGGCAAAATTACCATTTTAAAATTAGCTCACTTGTAGCTTTCACAGCGGTTTCTATTTTATTGTTTTTTTCTTGACACGATCTTCAGTGAATGATTTACATGATGGTGATGTAACATATTCCTGCTGTTATACAATTCACGAGCAGTCTAGACTTCTTTTTATGTATATAGTATGTGCTAATCACTATCTGTGTTTAATCTAGACCACTTTTGATGGAAAGTTCCGAAATAGTGTGCGACAAATGCGATAAATTGGGATACCCTTTAAGCGGAAGCGTCTGAGGAAGGGTTTGATTTCAGTTTTTTATACCTCTATATATAAACGAAATTTGTGTCAGTTACAGTATTTGTAATTTAAGTGTAGTTTAGTTTTTAACTTAGAACCAGGAGACGGATATTTTTCAACTCATCCCATATAAAAAGAAGAAAAAATACTTATTAAAATCGAAACGAAATAGAGTTTGCCCTGTCAGTTATACTTTTTTATTTCTCACACAGACGAAGTCGTTAGCAAAAACTAGTTTATAAAAAAAATTATTTCATATTTTTAATTTTTATCCAAAATTTACAAAACATCTTGGATTCTTTATTTTCATTTTTATTTTTTATTTTCTTAACTTTTCATGTGATTTATTTTAGATAATATAAAAATAAAATAAATATGTATGTTGTTTACGAAATAAACATTGTTTAATACTGATAATATCAGATGCTATACGATATTACTTGATTTTGTTTGATAAATTTTATTATAGTCTTCTCAAACTCACAAGTAATGAAGATGTAAGTAAACAATATTAAATCTCAGAAGCTTTTGTTTTAATTGAGTTGGAGTATAAATAGAACTGAAACCGTAGGCTTGTAACAGAAAATCGCGTTTTATTACCTAGTGAAGTAAAACCGATGGCACCAGAGCCTATAAAAAGTAGAAGCGGCTCTTTATAGACTTTGATATTGATTCCTTCTTTACTACCGCGATAAAGGTGGACAGGTCGCTTATAATATATTATTACTTTCTTAAATACAGCAAATATTCTTTAGTAACATTTTATTATTGGAAAGCTTTTACAACTTAAAATCTTCTCTGTGAATTCCTTTAATACGATTTCGCCATTCGTTAAAATGCGTCCGGTAACTTTTTTAGTTATCAATATAGATGCCTAGAGCCTAGAGCCCACTGCTGAGCAATAACCTTTTTCTCACATGGAGAAGGTTTGAGCATTAATCACCACGCTTGTTCAAGACGGGTTGGTGATTTCAAACTTATAATTGTAAAATTATAAGTCCAGGTTTACACACGATGTTTTGCCTCACCGCCTGTTAGTGGTGTCTAAGTTCTCTTAGAAAGTACATATGACTCGGAAAAATCACATTGGTACTTGCCAGGATCGAACCCGCGCCCTCGTGCACGAGAGACGGGCCCTTAACTACAAGGCCACCACTGACTTATTATATATATATCCTTATTATTCAACTCACACAAAATCCTACACATTGGTTAAATTGTTTCTTTGAAAGTATATTCATATGGGTCACAAAATTAAACAATATT